TCTGAGTAAAAGCTCAATGTTCCTGAGTCCTGCAATGTTTTTGTTACCTCATCAGGCCTCTTACTTTGTGGTAGCTTTGTGCTGGAGGGACACTTTCGGGTTCAATAATTCTTGCCTCAACATTTCCCGTAATAAAAAAAGCGTTAGAAAATTGATCCAAAGAAACTCTGGGTGGAATATTATAGAGGTCTGAGCGATGGCAATGGTTTAAAAGGGTGGCAGAATCAGGTAACTAGTGCAGCGGGACCCATCTTGACGTAGAAATCATCTTGCTCCATCTTTCACACTTTTCATTAGCTTTCACGCAGTGACAAGATGCCAATTGATGGGGATCAGTCCAGGCAGTGCGTGGGACGGTTAGAGTCAGGAACCTCTCCTCATGAGGGATGAAAACTGAATGGCAGCACACCACCTGTCCTGAGGCTTTCAGCTCTATTGTTGGCTATTTTCCTCATTAAATGAGAGAGAGGGAAGAGAGAGGCAGGGATCAGTGGAGGTGAAAGTGGCACAGCTACTACTTTTGGTGCAGGTTGGGAAGTGTCAGGAAGAGCCATACAGTCATAGTCATAGAGTCAACAGCATGGAAATAGACCCTTCGGTTCAACTAGTCCATACCGAACATGATCCCAAACTAGACGATACAGCTTGGAGCTGGAGGAACACAGCACGACAGGCAGCATCAGAGGAACAGGACAGTAGATGTTTCTGGTTTACACCTTTCATCAGGACTGATCCTGATGAAAGGTGTAAACCCAAAACATCGACTTACCTACTCCTGTGATGCTGCCTGACCTGCTGTGTTCCTCCAGCTCCACACCGTATTGACTCTGACTCCAGCATCTGCAGTTCTTGCTATGTCCATAATCCCAAACTAAACTAGTCTCACCTGCCTGCTCCTGGCCCATAGTTCTCAAACCTTTCCTATTCATGTACTTATCCAAATGTCTTTTAAATGTTGTAATTGCACTCACATCCACCACTTCCTCAGGTCGTTCATTCCACACGCAAACCACCCTCTGTGTAAAAAATTTGCTCCTCATGTCGTTTTTAAACCTCTCTCCTCTCACCTTAAAAATGTGCACCCTAGTCTTGAAATCCCCCATCCTAGGGAAAAGATAACTACCATTAACTCTATCTACACTCCTAATTATTTTATAAACTTCTAACAGGTCATCTCTCAAACTCCTATGTCCCAACGTATCCAGCCTTTCTTTATATCTCAAACCTTCCATACTCGGCAACATCCTGGTAAATCTCTCCTGAACCAGTGGTGATTAGGCAGCACAGAGGGTATGCAGGGTTAGTGTTGATGGGTGTTAGAGTGGGTGGCAGCGAGTGTGAGAGGTAGTGTGAGAGTGGTAGAGCACAAGTGTTGGTGGGAGTTGGGTATAGGAACAGAGACAGAGAGAGTGTGAAGTATTGGGAAGAAGATGATGGAACAGATTGGAGAAAGTCATTAACCTTCTCCCTACAGTGCTGGACATTCCTCCAGATGGCTGAGGTTGCTTTAACCTGGGTGGCTATCTCAGAGCATGCTGCCACGGTATAGCGTCATGGCCTCCACTGCTGGTCCTGGAGGAGGAAATCCTGGTTTGGCACCAGGACCCTGCCTACAACTGGGCATCAAGTTCCCTGTTTGCCACACCTGGGGCAAAATTCAGCCACATTGTTTGTCTGGATACACAGTGGCTTTTAAAGATGGCTAAGGCACAAGAGATGCAGGTAAATTCCAGGATTCCTCTATTATCCAAGTTATTGGTGAGTTATTCCAGGAACAGTAATCAGGCGTGAGAAACTCTGTGGGACATGGGAAACAACAAACAAGGTTGAGGGTCCCCCTCCCTCATCTGAGTGGCAGGGTTAGGAAGGCAGGACTTTTATATGCCAGTACAGGAATTGAACCTGTGTTGTTGGAATCACTCTGCAGCTGTCTGTCTAAATGACCCCCACAGGTTAGTCCTGTGCAAGGCAAAACTTTGTATGATAGGGCTAGGGTTAATAAATGATAAGCTTTCTACTATTTGTCCATTGAAAAATGCAGTAATAATCAGGACACTGACTGGCAGAGTTGTCAAGAGGAGCTTAGAAAGAATCCATAGTATTATTGACAAATGCAATCTCACAGTTTCTATTAGTGAATCCCACTGGCTGATCAACCAACAAATTCTTGCAGTACAAAATACCGATCTAGTTAACTGGAACATTTATCTTAGAACTGTAAAATAACAGAAACTTCTGACAGAGGAGTTCATTCAGCCTTTCTCCCCCCTCAGCACTCCAACCCACCCTCGCACTATGGCATAAATGCTGCCCTCTCCACACTTCATGTCAGCTCTGATGAAAACTCCAGACTCAAAATGTTAGCTTGTTCTCTCTCCATGGATGCTGCCTGACCTGCTGTGATCTCCAGCATTTGTTGCTGTCAGGACAGATTTCGGCATCTGCAGTAATTTTCTCCTACATTCAGCCCTCTGTTGGATCTTCTAAAGAGTATTTGTTCTCAGACTCATATCTTGCTTTCTTTTTCTGCAAATTCATAATTATCAAGTACAACTGTCTCCTAACATTATTATGGAAACACAATCCACTACCTTTTAAGGCAGAGATTCCCTGACCCTGATATCTTTCCTGGATTGTGGTTGCCCAGAATTGTCCACAAATTACCAGCTGAAACTTGACAAGTCATATATAAATTTCCATCATGATCTATTTGCTTTTACATTCTGTTCCTCAAAGTATAAACCAAAGTAACGTTGTGCTTTTTATTCATCTATCAAATTGGCCCCTTATAACTGTATCTCACTACTCACACTTTTTTAATAATCATACCATTTAGACTATGTTTTCCCATTTTCGTTCTTCCCTGGCGCATCAATTCACACTTTTCTGCATTGAACTCTATGTGTTGTATTCCTGTCCATTTTATCAATCTGCCTGTGTCATCTTAAAGTTGAGAGATACCTTCATTGCTGCCTACTTCTTTGTCACTTTCATATCATTGGCAAATGTAGAATGTTACTCCTATACTCATTTACTAGCAAACATTGAAAGAATCCTGGTCCCAAAACTGACCGACTATACTGCAAATGAGGAATTCTATTGCAATCCACCTCTCAATCTGAAAAACATCAAACCACCAACAAAAAAAAAACAGACAACTGCAGATGCTGAAAATCAGAAACAAGAAATTGCTGGAAAAACCCAGCAGGTCTGGCAGCATCTGTGAAGAGAAAGCAGAATTAATGTTTTGAATCCAGTGACCCTTCATCAGAGCCAATTACAGTGATTCCTGTTGCTGAGCCAATGCTTTATTAAATGATTTTTGGAAAGTCCATACATGCACATTGCCTATACAACCTTGGTCAACCGTTTTTCTGTTACCTCAGCAAGGACTTTGATATGCTATGCTTGTAATAATTCTGGTTTTCTTGTATGAAACCAAGACTTGGCAAATTAAAGTTTATCTTGTTCCTGATCATTGTTTCCAATAAATTTCCCACAGCCCATGTTAGGTTTACGTCATCATCAGTTTAGTTCACAGCTCCAAAACAAAACTGACAAAAGCATAAAATAAAAATAGTGAAAGGTCAGTGAGGATTTTGACAAAAGGAGGAATGCTTCAAGTCCAGTATGACTCTTCTTAAGAACAATCAACACTTGACACCAAAATCATCTGAAGATGAAGTGCACGTTTAGAATGATACATGTTATTTTCTAGTTTACCAGAGGAAGGTATTATTTTTGTAGTATAGCAGAGGAGGGCATTTTTCTAGTTTAGC